AACTGTTATTCCTTACTTGGCCCCACTGGACCATGTTCTCCCACACTTACGAAGCTCTCTGCGCTACTCAACCCCTATTTGGGGTCACCACCCTGCCCCTGATCAGGCTTCAGTACTTCCACAGGCCTCTCATCTTCCCTGGCCTCCTAGTGGATCACAGGCCTTCACTCCCCTAGTCACCTAGCAATCCCAGGCTGCTCCCAGCTTCCCTGACCATCTAGGATAGGGTCACCATATGTCCGGGTTTTCCCAGATATGTCCTCTTTTGTGGTCCCCTGTGCAACGTCCAGCCAGGGTTTTAAAATAAGAGCAAATGTCTGGCAGGACTGGGGAGCAGGGGCTTAGGAGCTGGGGGTAGAGGCAGGGCACAGACGTATTACATCCCACCACAATCATATACCCCTCCCCCCTCTTCTCCTTCCTTCCCCCTTCCAAGTGTCCTCTTTTTTGATGCTGGAAATATGGTAACCCTAATCTAGGTCAGGGGTTGTCAACCAAGGGTCCGTGTACTCCCGGGGGTACTTGAGAAGGCCCTGAGGAATACATGCAGGGATGGAACACCATCATGCCACGCAGGCATTGCTCAGCTGGACGCAGGGGAAGCTCGCAGGCAGCATGCCGCCGCTCTGTATTCAGTCATACAGCTCCCCCCCTTCCCCCCACATCCAGCTGCATGCTGCCCCCCTCCCCCCTCACTCTGCATCCTGCAACTGGGAGTACACTGCTCTGTCTGGCCGCCAGGGGTACACTGATCCAAAAAGGTGGAAAACCCCATATCTAGGTGGTCACTGGCCTCTCCCCCCAGCTTCCCTGGCCATCCAAGTGAGCACTGGCCTCTCTCAACTTCCCTGGTCTCCTAGTGGATCACAGACCTCTCTCAGCTCACTCCACACCTGGCCATGCTAAAGGGTAACCAGGGTGTGGGGGCTGAGACTTTGAGGAGCCCCATCCCTGCCTTTCACTGAGGCGGCACAGGTGTGGCATTTCCTGAAGACCACCCCACCACAGGCAGCCCCACCACACCATCCAGACCCAGCAGGGTGTAGTTTTAGGTCATGCCCAGGACCACTGGAACCACACAGCCCTGCCCTAGAGCCTACCTACTTCACTGTTCCCTCTTAGTGTGGTGTTACTCCTGGACCAACCCTCATCTGCTCTACAGCTTTCTCTGCCAGGTAATTCATCTCTCTGTGGCCTCCAGGAGTTACTTAGGATGCCCTTCATATGTCCCCTGGTGCCAAGGCCCTCACCCCTCATCTGTGGTCCATGCTACATTAGAGACCTTTGACCAATAAGGCCCTGGGCCCCAGGTTGGGCTAGTCGGGTTACTGGGCTGTCCATCGCCAGGTTCACCCTTTTCAGTGAGCCTTAGCTCTTCAAGTCACCTTGGACCCCTGGCCTCAACCAGGCCAACCGGAGTAAGTAAATGGCCTGCCTGCCACTGGTCCTTTACCACCATCACTCCAATAGCTCGCTACGGCCCATAATCACTGGGGCCTCTCAACCTCCTTCTCAGAGTCATGGCTGCTCATGTCACCATGCTCTAATCTAACTCCAAGCCCAGGTACCCTAGGCTCTCTTGCTCATGCTGATCTGTTCAGGCCAGGACTGGGTTCAAGCTGCTCCCCTGCTCTCCCAGGGTCTCTCATCCTAGAAAACTCAGGTCCAGGCTGCCCCAGGCTCTACTCTCCTTGTTCTCACCAAGCCTTCTTCCGGGTGCTCAGGCTCTCATCTTAGCTGCACCGGACAGCTTATCAGGCTGTAATGGTCTTGGGCTTTCACTAAGCCGGCCCACGAGGATGCAGCCTTCTCTATATTGAGGAGCCCCTCCCAGATTCTCTGGAACCTGCTCCTGCCCCTATTAGCTCTCCCTTTCGTCTGGTTCTCCCCTCTCTTCCTCAGGGAGACAAACTTCCTCCACAGCCTAGTGGGGAGTAGCAGCCAAGCTCAACCAGGCTACTCAGGCCCTGATGGTCTCTACCTGGTGCTAGAGCTTCCCAAACCATATGCTTCCCCTGAGCCCGCTACCCAGCTCAGAGTGGTACTTACACCTGCAGCCACCCTAGCACTGTGCTCCATCCAGGCTCACCCAGCTACACCCCTTTCCAGGAGAGCTGCAACTGCTGCTGTTCGTCACAAGGCTTCCCAGTCGCAACTGGCAGCCCTGCTCCTTGTCTATGGGCTTATACCCAAGCTATCTAACTCTCCTCCACTCAGGTGGCCTCTCAGCCATCAGATGACTACTTAATTGCACCTGAGCGCCTCTGTTGGCTGTTCCATAGCCTGCCAGCTCCCCTTAAAGTGGTAGGCACCCTTGCGCCCTGTCACAGTGGTGCTTACAAAAAACAGGCAGCTGTTTCCCCAGCAGGGAACAGGCACCAGGGACCAGGCCTGGAGGTACTGCAATACTAGGCCAGCACCAGGAAGGCCAGAGCAAGCCCTGACTCCCTCTTGGTGCCAAAGATGCTACATTACATGCTGGCTTGCTTTTTTCTGCAAAAATATTTATTTCAATATACATAAAATACATAATGTACCTCTAACAACCCCATCAACTGACCACTGGGGTTTACTTAACAGAACAAAACACGCTTTGAAAGGCAAACTATTTAGTTCCATTACAAAGTTCACATCGTTCACCCATCACCATTCCAGTGCTTTCACTCGTCATTATCATCACCGCTTTCCTTACCGCTGTCTACCTCGGAGGGGTGGCTCTGATGCTGGGTTCCTCCCACTGAGCACAGTCTGCCTCAACACCAACTCTTTTTCAAGCCACTACACTGCAAACATTTTGATTTTCTCTTCACTCCCACAGCTGAGCTGTGCCTTTCTTTCCTATTTCCCCATGATTCCTGTTTTTTCATCAGCCTTAAATGTCTGGCAAACATCACCAAATAGGGTCCCAAACAGTTCATCCACAATCCCTCTCTCGCCCCCTCTCTCAGCCTGTCACATATGATTAGTATGGCCCTGCCTCCATGAGGTGAACCTGGACCAAGTTGCCCTGCACCTCATCTCCACATAAATTTTTTGGAGGATCCAAGGACCGTGACAAAAACACCCAATTCCAGTCATGAGTGGGGGGCTAATTAGTACATGGATCTTTTGTGGGGTGGCATCTGGAGTATATACATGTACTGAGAAGTGCTGAGCTGTGGAGTCAGCATGGCTTGAAATGCTGTCAATTCTGGATCAATTAATTCTATGGATATTATATGCAAATTACTACAACTTTATTTATTTCAAGTGTTTTCAGATTTGCTCCTCACTTCCATGTGCTCATGGAGAGCAGGGTCTGATGGTAAGGAGCAGGGGAAGGGGCTGCAGGGGGAAGAATTTGGGGGGAGGCAGAGAGCAGAGGGGCTACTTGACCCCCCAGATTTATTTTCCCTGCTGTGGGAGGGGGACAAATTCAAGGCAAACCTCCAATAATTAAATTCTATACATGGAAAATTATACCAAATTTATAAATATTCCATATATAGAATCTAGTTATTGTGGGGGGGGGGGGGTCATCTATTATTCAAGTAAATATGGTAACTAGCCTATTGTTACCTGGGTACACATTTTTAGTCCTCTGAGACTTCTCCAAGATTTGCTAAATATCAAAATCAATGGATTACCTGAGGTCCAGTACAAGCAATGCAAAACTCTTACCACTTTATCTTCTAGGTTTCAAATTCAGTTTGCTTTTATCACAACATCAGTACTAGTTACCTATTGTGAACCAGTCCCAAGCTACTGCTGGCATCACAATCATCAATTTCCCAAATGACAGGGTCAGACGTCTGGAGGATGGTAACCAAACACATGGAGGTGAAGATCAAAACATCTCTGCTTCCTACGAACTGCTTCCCAATACACTTATATAGGCTTCCTGTTCCAGTGACCTTCTGGGGCATTTCCAGAAAGCTGGAGCCTTTTGTAACTGATTTTCAGCCTGTTTTCTTTGTCCAACCTTCTGCTGTTATGAAAGCATAGTGTGTCAATAAAGTGAAGCCCCAGAAAGAGGCTGAATGTTCAAACTTTACATCTTGCACTCGTGTATTAGATCAGAGCAAGAATTTTCTGTGCTCACAAGATGAATATTTTCAGTTAATTTCTGTCTATTAATATGCTTCAGAACATGATTGTCTACTAGAGGTTTCTGGAGGGAGGATGGTCGTACTAGCCGAACCATAGATAGCAGTAAAAAAATGTTATTTGTCCTACCCAAATTGGACAGGTATTATATATGCAATATCTAGGAGACTGAGAATAAACATTGTTCTGGACCATGGATTGGGAAGATGGTAAATAATTCATTACAATGCTGAACATTCTCTCATCCCCCTGTGAAATGTATGAAAAACTGGAATGTATGTTTCTCCTCTCTAGTGTGAAATATGATAAGTACACAGAGATGGCCATGTTAAAAACATTTAGATACCACTCACAGTGGTTCTGTACTAAGTAACCTACCAGAGCTGTTTCTGTTAATATACCAAAGTAGCTAAGTCTTCCCAAAGTTTGAAAGATTCACAGTTTTGGGATTCCCAAACTCATAAAAATAAGCACCTCAGGATCCTGTGCATCTGCTTTATGCCTTCTTTGTCACGTGTTTCTTTTGATGTGACCATACCTAGAATTAAATCAGTAGACAACTCCTAAATTGGAGGCAGGTCACAGGAGGAGATTTGCTATTAATAGTGTAAACTTGTACATCTACAGCAAGGAAAGAATAAAAATGATGTGGAAGACATAAAGAACACCACCTATTTCATTAAAGGCATTTTATTTCCATCAAGCCTTCTTAATATTGTCCTAACATAACTACTTCCATGTAGTCAAACACCAGACTAAAATATAGACTGTGGACATAAGGGGTGCCAACAGACGTGCAGGACATCTGCTCCGATGTGCTGTAATTACAGCGCTTCAGAGGAGAGTCAATTAATCAAGTCTGCTGGAGCGTGCTAATTAACACACTCCAGCGGCCTCAGCATCTTGTGCATCAGTGTCCCCTTGCTTCAAAATGGTGGTCGGGGTGCTTTTAACTAAAGCTTGTTGAACACTGGGAGCCCTTTGCAGCCCACTGGGAGCCAGGCAGGCAGTGCTGACTCCTACTTCCCCCACCTCTGGAGGGGCTGGGCTCAGCCATGTCACAAAGAGTGGGCAGGGAGGAAGAAGGGGAGAAGCAGCGGGGGGAAGCCCCACACATGCACACACCCAACCCACCCACACCCCAATCATACCCCACCCCCTAAAATCCCCACTATACCCACACACACACACCCTTCACTGTCCCATACACCCCATCATACCCACACACACCGCTACACCCCATCATACCCCCCCCACTTCCCACCATACCTACACACCCCCCAAACCTCAACCACACACACCTCACCCTGCTACCATATCCACACACACATCCAACACTGTCCCACACACCCCACACCCTCCACACACACCTACACACATACCCAATAGTCCCACATACCCCACACCTTAATCACCCCCACACACGTCACACATACAACCACACAGACACTCCTCCCACACCCTGCAACCACATACTTCCGCACCACACAAACCCCACCCCATCACACACAATATACAAGCAACCCTCTCCAAAAGGAGTACTTCCTGGGCAAGGGGAGAGACTTCCAGTGGCAAAGATAAGGGGTTAGAGGTTGGACTTCTGGTCCCAAGCTGGTGACCAGGCGTTGGGGCACCTGTCAAGGGATGGGGCTACCCTTGTGGCCCTCAACAGCTGACCAAAACTCGTTAAGTGGCCCTGTAGCTAAAATAATTGCCCACCCCAGTATAAACAGTCTCTTCACCAAAGATCTTACAATCCAAGACACATGTTAATGTGGTGTGGTATAAAAGTTTAGTGGCACTTACATAACTGCAAAGCTTACACTTTGCCACTCCAAAATAATAGGCCTATCTGAAACTCAAATTGTTAAATCTTTTATAACATCTTGTAGTAGGTATGTGTGACTTGGATTTTGCTCCTTAAAGCCTATTAATGTATCACATTGTTGTTATTGCTGTTGTCATTATTAATGGGAATTGAGAGCAAAAATCCCTATGCGACGCATTGAAATTGTATTCTAACACTTTTAAATTATCTCAGGGTAGATTACACTTACATGTGAAAGCTTTTAATCTTTGATGTAGTACCAGGCGGTAACCAGATATAGTTTGTATTTATAGCTGGTTCTATTAACATAATTATATTAAGGGCTTGTTAATGATCTAATTATCAAATTGCCTAATGATAATTTTTTTTTTGCTTAATTTGTTTTGTGGGTATGGAATAATTTGCAGTTATTTGTCTGTGATCCCTGGAACCCCTAAAAATCAGATATGACATATCAAAGCAACTTTCTTGATGAGTGAAATTTTAAACACACAAATATATTTTTTTCTCCTGAAAAAAGTTAACAGCTTGCTGATTGCCTCAGTGGGATAAGAGAGGTGCCCATGCAAACCTCCCTCTCTAAATTATACCATTTAGTATGTTTATGTGAAATATTACAAATTAATAAAAACTAAAAACTAAAGGGAAAAATGTGATGTCCCTAGTAGTCTTATTCCACAGGTGCTGAGTACTCACAAGTACCACTGAAATCAATACAAGTAAAGAACATTCAAGGACCAATTAAAAGGTTTTGTTCTGTTGCACTGCTCCAGCAGGCATACAGACCAGTCTCCTCATTGATTCCGCTGGGAATACCCTCAAGAATAGAGTTATTCATATGCCTTTTTTGCTGTCACAGCAATTTCAGGGTCTTAGGTTAGATCTATACATGGCTTTATTCCCCTCTAATTTGGGAGGGGTCAGGGGCTAAGTCACACCACCAAACAAATATATATCAGCTCAAACTCTGATGTAGACTTTATTATACCAATATATAATCTATTACTTGTACAGCACAAAAATAAAGGATTGTGGTTTAACTCAAGTAAGATGGGAGGAGGGGACTGGGAAATTATATAGCAATGGTATAGTTTAAGTGGTATAAGTGTTGTTTAGACAAGCCCTTGAAGTGTGGTCCCTGCTTCCACTGAGGTCAATGGCAAACACACCTGCCTAGGCCTACTCAGCTGTTCCATACTAATTATACAATGCTAATTTGCATTAGCAAATCATTTACAGTAAACTTCATCTTATGGTATATGGACCCAGACCTGCATAGGTGGCAGGGGCCGGATCTCAAGCTGCACAGAATTTAGGGGGCTGTAGCTGAGTACGCGCTAGATACAGGAGATGGGTGGGCAAGCTGTAGAAGGTGTTTGACATGGCTGGACAGATGGATGGATGTTGGAAGGAGTCTGGAACTAACAGAGGTGGGTCCAGAGGGGGTGCAGTGGCAAGGTCAGATCCCACTTTCAGACCATGTCATGGGAGCAGCAGCTGGGGACTTAAGTCCCCAAATCGGGTAAGAATCAGTGATAGCAGCAGTGGGCAGGCTCCTCTTCCTTGCCCAATCCCCCAGCATGCTCCCTGCCAGCCCAGGAACAGGCTCAGAAACGGAAAACCTATCCACTACCACCATCCTGAGTTGAGCCCAGCTCTCTGCACCACCCAGCTAGAGTGGGACTGGAGTAGCTCTGGAGCTCCCCTGCCTCTTATGGCAACCAGTGACAGTAGCAGCAGCAGGCAAGGGAGGGAGACAAGAGACGGGGAGGGGACATGTCACTGAGCATGGAGGGGAAGAAAGAGGGTGCTGAGAGGGGTGTCTGGGAGAGAATTCTTACTGCTTCAGGAGCTTAAAAAAGAGCCTAACTGCTACTCCCACAGCATGGTCTGCTGTCCTCATAAGGGGGAAGAAGCTGGGAGTGAGGGTAAAGCCACCACTGCAGTGCTGATTGCTTGTCTTGCAGCTCCATTTACAAAATCCGGGATTAGCTCATAGGAATCAGTGCTGGGCAGGGGGTTGCTGTGCACTGAATATCTAGGGAGGGCTGAAAAGGGCAGACTACAAAGCTGGGTACAGGGGGTAACCTGGAGCCATCACTGAACCTGAACACCACTGACTGCTGCTTAGATAGCACCCAGGAGCTCAGTCTCTTTCCCATCAAGGTCCATGCAGTTTTATGTCCAATGAGCTGAGAGAGACTGAGGGGAGTGGGGCACCTGGCAATCAGGCTGCAGGTAGGATGGGTGCCACAGTAACCTCTGCTGGCTAACAGCAGCAGTTGCAACTACTCCTACAGCCCTGCTGAATGGGCAGCACCACAGAGGGAACTGCCAAATGCATGAATGTCACAAAAGATGTGTAAACTCTGGCAACCCAGGCAAATCCCCCAGCTGACTTCAGTGGAAGCAGGAAGAGGCCCTTAACAAGCTCTTTAGAACAGGGATGGTCTCATTTTATGCTTGAATAACACCCGGCACAATAAAACCTTTAAGTGTTCCTGGAATATGAATGATTTTTCAAACCAGTTATCAGTACATGACAGAGTGTGTGAAAAGTTTTTTTTGGAGGGGGGGTAGGAGTGCGGCAAACTCAGCCCTCCATTAACTTCAGTGGAGTTACTGCAGGAAGGCATCCAGGTTGCAGCTGTATTGGTCTAGAGCAATGTTTCTCAACCTTTTAAGTAGCAAGTACCCCCAACTTCTGAAAATTTGAATAAGTACCCTAACACTCAATTTTCCAGGGCATTTTATATTTATAGACTAATGTGTGCCATATGTTGAAAGAAGGGCTGTGTGTATAAGGCCATGATATGACAGATATCTGATCTGGTGTGGGCAGGGTTGCCACCTTTCACACCAGGGATGCACAACTCAAGTATGTACCTGGGGTACAGGTGATGTTGGCCAAAGCTAGGAGGGCTGAACCAACCAAGGGTTGGCCAAAGTTAGGAGGGCTTTGCGCAGCATGCTAAATTATTACTGGGGAATTTAAAGTGCTGCACAATGCGTGGCACACCATATTTTTTGCTATAGTTTTGACAGAAGGCAGGGATGAGAGAGAGAGGAAAAGAGGGCAAGAGAGAGTGTGTTGGGGTACCCACATACCCCCTGCCTGTATCTCGTGTACCCCCAGGGGTACGCATACCATAGATTGAGAAACTATGGTCTAGAGGCAAAACAAATCAAAACTTATAGATGAGGTGATATCTTTTATTAGACCAACTAGATATTTACAAACAAATTATTTGATTTAATTAAATTAAAATATAAATAAAATTGTTTTTTAAATTATATAAATTTATATTTAAAAAATTAAATCAAATAATTTGTTTGCAAATATCTAGTTGGTCTAATAAAAGATATCACCTAGTCCACAAGTTTTGGTTCCCAATACAGCAGGAAGGAATTTGGTCCAGAATTTAATATTTCACTGATGTATGATAACGGCATGCTAGTATAGTAAATAGTTTAATACATGTCTTTATGGTAAGTTTTATAACAACATGCAGCAAGGCTCTTTTGGTTGCTGTTTGTATTTTAACAGTTCTTCAGTTGATTACACATTTCTTCATTCCAATGTATGTGAAATGTGTAACTACTGGTTATCACAGTACACTGTTCTACGTATATCCCATCCCCCACACCTTCCTAAAACTCAAGTCCCCCAACCTGTTTGACTAATTCAGGGTATGAATGGGCTCACTTGGAAAGTCTTCTCAGCAGGGATTCAATGAGAGCATTCAGAGCTGAATGAGTCCAGACACTTCCCATCCCCCACAGCCCTTACCTTATTGCCCCCCTCCCCCTGCACAAAAACAAAATACAAGCACTGAGTCCTTGGTACTGAGCATAAGGAAGAGGCATATAATGAACCCTTGCTGCTAAACAACACCATATTGCTGGCTCTGTGGCACTGATCTACAAGTGTGGGCTGAAAACATACCTCCCCCAGCCCCACCACAGCTCATGTTCTGTCCTGAATAAGCTGACTGCTGACAAGCCCAAGAGGGGATCAGCCTCTTGACTTGTGTGGTCTGATGAAGGCTAAGATTACAAATCTTTTTCCAAATATTCCCCAAGTGAGCCACCCAAAAAAAAAAAAGGGAGGGGAGGGAGGAAAGAAAAGCTTCCAGTAGAGCCTGGTAACATTACCGAGCCCTCAAATCAAAATACACTCCTACTTGGGTTACAGTGTCAGCTGAAAAGCTCTCTAATCAGCAGGGACGAGAATGGACTTCCAGCCCTTTGTAAAGACTGAAGTCAGTGATCATGACTTCAGACTAATACAGGGCTCCCTGTGTATCCACAGTCACAGAATAATCGATAGGGAAATGGGAAAGTCATCTGAAAGGAAGGAGCTCTTACGTCTAGAGTTAGCCTTAGGCATTGCTGCACACACTTGAAATACACTGATTAGAGCTATGTACTCTTCCCCCCCCCCTCAGGGCACCGCCTGCAATTAATTTATCATTTGAGACATCAGCCCCTTCGAAACTCAGGCTCCAAGTTCTCCTCCACTGATCTAGTTCTATAGATACAGAAATCAAGCTTGGCACATGACACCTGCTTTAGGAAAAGTTAACTCCCTTGAAAAGACAATGATTTTGTGATCGAGAAATATATCCTGTGGCCTCATAAAACACTTTATAAAAATTCCAGTTCCCATTCATTACTGATTATATACTATATAAGTTTCCCTGCTGCAAAATTCATCCAGCATGAAGCATTGCTTCTCATTATGTAGTTATTGATAGACTAAATATCTGCATTTGGTATCAAGAATCAGTAATGAGACCATTTATCTGCTGAGGACATAGGCAACTGGTAGAGAGGTCGGGGGGGCACGTGCCCCCCCCCCAACAGAGCCATCCCCACCACTGCCGCTGCTGCCAGCTTCTGCGGGTACTTGCCAGCCCCGTCCCTGTCACCAGTAGACTCAAGAGGCATCAGTGTCCTCCCCGACTCAAGGGGCACCAGTCGCCCATGGCTGAGAAAGTTGTAAATTTGGCCCTTCCCCACAAAGAAGAGCAATAGGGGTTTGTGATACCTGTACTTGATCAACATCCTTTTAGCTCAATAGCAAAATGCATTCTGAACAAAGCATTCTGAAACAAAGCAGTAAAGAAATCCCGATTATTTTGCACAATAGTTAATTTTGATGATACTACATCATCTCATCTTGTCTGCAGTGCTATTTCCAGAGTCTGGGTCATATGTGTTTGTGTTAAAGATTAGTCTCTATTTACCTTATCCTGCACATCACAAATCCCTCTGGCTCAACACACCTTGCTAATTCTCTTAAGCTTGTTGCTGTTATTTTTACAGCAGATTGCTTTGTCTTCCACTGAAAATAGCAGGGGTGGGTTTGAGCAATGAAGTTAATTGGACTTAAAACTGAATCACATTATTTCTAGAGCTGCATCATACATGCCTTGGTGGGCGTGGAGGATGAAAAAAATCTTAAAAATTGTTAATCTGATTCCAATGTATTCAGCTTAGAAGAGAGTGGGGATGGCATCTTATAACTAAGTAAAGGCTGTCACTGGGGTTCAGAGCAAGCAAAGGGTTAGATCTGTAAAAGACCTTTTAAAGTTCTCAGCTCCCAGAAATGGAATCGAGAGCTCTCTGTTAGGTGCCTCCACACAAGGGGAGAGTTTCATGCCTCAGGATGACAATCACAGCAGGCAGGACTGTGTGGGGAACATATGAAGGCTGTGCACAGACATTCAAAAAGCCCCTGGAGGAAAGAGCTCTATCGAACTTTAAAGTGCTATAAATTAAAGTGGGAATGAACTGAACAGACATTCACTGTTCAGGTGTGGGGGGGAGTGAAGTGGGGTGGCATGCTCTCACTGCCTGCCTGCACTGGCCAAGGCCAGCGGCAGGCGGGGGGCACTTCCACACGCCTCCCAGGAGGCTGCTGGAGTGACCCCTCTCTCCAGTCATCCCTCCTCCCTCTCTCACCCGCTGGTGACTGTCAGCAGCAGCTAGGGAGGAAGAGGGAGAGGGAATGGAATGCCGCTACCACAAGGCCCCCAGCTTGCTGCCTGGGTTCTTAGGGAGGGGGCCAGGTCTATGCAGCAGGAGGTTTCCCTTCATCCCCTGCCCCAGCCTCTTGACAGCTGCAGCCAGGAGCTGCAGCATGGGGCTGCCAAGATGGCTTTTTTTTTTTTTAAAGAAATTTTTCATGTTCCAAGCCAAATCAGCCAAATCAAGTTCAAATCCATGAGTCAGTCCAGAACCCTAAGTGGCCCTACAACTGGCAAACATCCTCCACCCCCACCAGGGGCTTCAGATATTTCTAAAGTCTTTTGACAGGCATCCTACATGCAGGCCCAAGCCCGGAGGCTTGGGGGTCAGATGCCCCCAAGTTTGACTGCCCTCAGCCATACGGCTGCAGAAGCAAGCTAGAGAGGAGCCTCCCATTTTCATAAAGTGGGTTTTAAGCCCCAACACCGTGGTGGGTACTAAACCACGCCAGAAGAACAGTTATCCCCGGGAATGCTTAAGGAAAACTGCCTTCATGGACCCAGATACATGGTGTTTCCCCTGCTGAGATGGCTTTTTGCCTGCCAGAAACTAGGGTGGGGAGGGAGCAGACCCTCCCTGCTGCACAGACCTGGCCCAGGCCCCTGCCCCCCCAAGACCCCAGCCATCAAGGTGTGGAGGGGCCCTCAAGGCAGGGGGAAGGGGAGGCTCTCTTCCCCAACCTGCCCTGCCCAAGCCTCATGAAAGCAGCAGTCAGAAACTGCAGCCCAGGACTGCCTGACTGGCTTTTTGCCATGCCAGGAACTGGGGCCATGGGGAGAAACAGAGCCTCTGTCATGCAGATCTAGCCCAGCCCCCACCAAGACCCAAGGCTGCAAGCTTGGGCAATGGGGAAATGTGGGAGGGTGGAATTCAAGCAGCAGAGAGGCTCTGTCCCCCTACCCTTCCCGTGCAGGGAGGAGACAGAGCCTTTTCTGTCTCCTCTCTGTGACAGCTTGGACTAATCGAATGTGCTCCAACACACTGTAATTACAGTGTGTCAGCCTTGCTGCTTATGTATAGGCACCTGGAGGTATTAGATTTAATGCATATGAACTAAAGCACGTTAATGCACATGTAGACATACCCTGTATATACTAACTTGCAAACGCACTAGTAAATTTGGCTTAATGTAGACATCCCTGTTCTGTGTGTGATACAGGTCACACACAGAGCTGAAGATAAATTCATGAGGCCCATTAGGTTTTTGTTATGTAAGAAGACTGAAGGCAAGTGATCAAAGTAACAGAAGATGTAGAATAAAGTAATTAGCCCTTCTGCTCAGATTCAAAGCAAAGAATAGAGACACTACCATAAAATAATCAATAATGATCTTCAAACACACGACAATGCAACAGCTGTAGGGGAAAATGCTTGGTGGGGATAAATATTTGCACTTAGTCACAAAAACACATCCACAATAAGTCTTTTGCACTTGCATATTGGGAATTGCCTTACTAATACCTGTAAATGATGGTTTGATTTCTACATACTAAATGTCCACTTTGTTAGTATAGTGTTTTAATACACTTGTTTGTTTGAACTAATGGAGTTCCAGTATTTTTTGTATTTGGATGTTTAAGGTTGGAAACACAATTATACTGCAAAACTTGATCTCTTACCAGATTTTTTAAATTAATTGCAAGAATTTTTGGTTGGCTTTCCCACCTCCTTGTATGTAAGCATTAACAATCACAACTGCAGCTCAAGCTTATTTTTGTTGGAGTCTGAAATTATTTTGCATATTTTATGAGCATCCCACAAACACCTTTTAAAGCGTTCAAAGGCTTTGCTAGGAGAAAGACCAGGAACACTGGAATCTTTTTATTTTATTTACCTGTAAAGAGTCAGCATGGACAGCTCTGCTGCTTACTATATGGCCTGAAAGGATGGAATTCCTGGGAAGTTTTACTCTTTAAGTGCTCTTGGTTCTTCAACTAACCATACACTGTTGGTGCCATAATTTAAGCTACTCACATTTATTACTATCCATAGAGAGTTTTTGGCATGCTAACAAAACATCACCAGAAACCCTTTTTGGCATCCACTACTATAACATTATGTGAGCATTTTACTAACATGTACAACTTCAGAGATAGGGAAAGAAAAGGATTATGCGGCTATTGTTTGAAGTCCAGTCTAAACATAACTAAAACA